CATTATATTTTATCCAAACCTTTATAATATTTTATGGATTACTTATGTTATGCTACTCTTTTGGTATCCCAGGTGAATTCCTTTTCCTGGAGTATTCTTTTATTCACTGCAAAGTATGTGATCACTCTCTTCGCACGTGCACTATTCAATTACTGTAACTATACTTGTTCCCCCTCTTATATACTGTTTATTAGTTGTCTCTTTTTGCCTTGCGTATTTCCCGGATTGTATTATACAGATTTCTTGATCTTTATTTATAATTTTTTCATTTCCTGGATGAAATGGACTGGCTTTGTTGGGGTATTTGCCTTTCATATTTCAAGGATTGTATTATACAGTCATCTTGACTCAGATAAGTAATAAGCTAGTTTCCTGGATGAAATGTACCCCTATGCTTGAGGCTTTTGTTTTGAATTGATTTCTTGTTAGGCTTTGAGATTTGTGTTACATTCTTGCTAATTTTTACTTGTCAATGTTGACAGTTGGATTTACCCATGTTATAATTTGGTACTCTGTTCTAATTTTGTCATCTTGTAGCTGTGGTAAGTGTCAAATCATACATTGGAGGCGGGGTCATAAGGATGACTGTCGTCCCCCAACTTCTGTCGTGAACTTTAAAGAGGAAACAGGGTTTGATGGGAAGGCAACATCACAGAATCAGTTTGAAAATTGTGGCGATGATTCTGGGGTACTCAAATCTATGGTGCAGTCTGAAGAGCTGTCCATGATAGATAATGATGATAACCTGCAACCTCCTGAAGATGCCACAGGAAAAGATTCTGGTTTTTCATTGTCCCGTACAATTGATGCCAGGAGTGAATCAAGTGTTCATGCTTCCTCAAGTGAGTTACTGGGGTCTATGTCAGCTGATAGTCCAGAAAATTCTATATCTGTTGATGCTGCTTCTGGTATTCATATTAGGCCTCATGTTAAACAGACGAGATCAACGCATTCAGATTGGACTAATTTGGCCAATCACGAGAATAATGTCCCTTACATGAGAAAGTTAAACCAGCTGAAATCTATTCAACATGATGAGCAGGTTGATATGAGATCTCATAATCAAGAGGACAAAATGGGCAGGTCCAGTGATGTCCAGGCCGAGAAATTGGGAAACAAGAAGTCTCCTAGGGCAACCACTTCACAAGAAATTTTAGTTGAGGGTACTTCCAGGTTCAAGAATTCACCATCTGTAAGCTGCTTGAGGTCAGATTTTGTAACTAAGGATGGGCATGAAAATCCAAAGATATCTAGAGGTAAAAAAGTTAGATCTTTGTCATTTGGTGCTTCTGGTGATTTCCTATCTTCAGCCACAGGAGCACATGCTGCCACTACTTCCGTATCTGTATTACCTGCAAAAGTTAGTGGTGTTCCTAACTTCCCACAACGAGGTTATAATGGTCTGAAAGCATCAGTTTGGAAGGTTGCCCAACAGTTTAGACCCTCAAAATCATCAAAATCCTATTGGTTAGGTTCTGGAAGTGAGGTGACTGGAAGATATACTTGCAAGGTAATTTTCTTATCATTTAGTGCTTTCTTGAGATCTAGAAAATTTTCTTTGTCATGCTATACTATTGATTTTGTTATCTGTATGGCAGATTATCTTTCCATATGAACTGTTTGTGAGACTTTACTCCTGTGATGGAGTGGAACTAAGCCCATTTGGCCTTATAAACTGTGGGAACAGGTAATATTTGCCCCCTTTGTGTTCTCTCTCTCTCTCTCTCTGCCTGCTTGCGATGCAATAATTGGACGTAGTGCTGTACTTCTTTAGTTGTATCTTATGCAGGACAAGCAACTATTTTGATTTTCTTACAGGAACCATCTTCCTATTGAATCCTTTCCTGTTTTGCTACTCACATAATCTTGATTACATTTCTTTAGTTGTTATGCAAATGCTGTGCTTCAGTGCCTGGCATTTACCCGGCCACTTACTTCCTATCTCCTTAGAGGGCTTCATTCCAAAACTTGTAAGTCGCTATTGGTTACTCTTGTTTAGGTTCCTTTGATTGACAGTATATGGTTGTGTGTGCTTGATGGCATTCTAATACTCAAATGTTGGGTTATATTTTACAGGTCAAAAGAAGAACTGGTGTTTCATATGTGAGCTTGAAAGTTTGATTCTGCAGGCGGTTGAAGGGAAGTCTCCTTTGTCCCCAATCGGATACTATCCAAAATTCAAAAGATAGGAAAAAATCTCGGCCATGGAA